TCGGTGCAGCAGAGGTGCTGATATGTAGTCTTTGAAGCAAGGTGACAGGTCAATGTTACCCCACCCCATAGCTCCCAAAAAGTATGTGTGAGCCAGGCAGGATGGAGAGCCCTGCTCCATGCTGTCGGCTGGGATCAGCCTCAAGATAAGACTATAACTTCCCAGGCCATAAAAAAATTACACATCAGAGCAGAAGCACTGACCCCAAAACATCAGATGCTACCTCACATTGTGTTATGCAGATTACTTTTGCTGCATATCCTTCTCTCTGCATATGGCAGGGGTGATTTCACCCCTAACCTCGCTCACGGCACTCACCTACTTCCTGCCACAACTATAGTCACTCATCCCGGAGCCACTGCCCTCTTAACGAATTAATAAAACCTGGGTTTGGCCCGGAGTCATGGCCTTTGTTCCAGTTAGCCATCATTCTAGCTGGACCTGGGACCCCCTGGGCTCCCCACAACTACAAATACGCCTTAGTGTCTTCATTCTCATCATGTGTTCCACTGGAAGTGGTAGATTGGCATTAACTTATTGGCATTCCAATAACTTTCCCGTGGGTTTACAAATATAAACTGCCTGGATGAGGAGTCCTCTTTCTTCATATCTTCTTCAGTAAGTCTTATTTTCTATTTGGGGTTTTTTTCTTTTATAGTCATCTTAGTAGGTGTAAAGAAGTACCTCACTGTCAATCATTGTGGTTTTAATTTGCATTTCATTAATGACCAATGAGGATATCGTGTGTGCTTACTGACTACTTGTATGTCTTCTTTGAAGAAATGTTTGTCCTAATTGGACTTGGTGATGACCACCACTAATCTCAGCACTTGGGAGGCTGAGGCAAGAAAATGGTTGCAAGCTTGAGGTCACCATGGATTACACAGAGAGTTCAAGGTCAGCCTGAACTGGATAGCCAGGCACTGTCTCAAAAAAAAAAAAAGGTTTGTCCAAGTCTTTTGCCTGTTTTTAAAACTGGGTTGTTTCTCTTTTTGGTATTGTAACAGTTCTTTATACATTCTGGATCTTTCATCTCCAGATTTCTGAAGAAATTGATTCCGACCATTTTTTCCCAGCCCTCTCACTGACTTTATGAAGGAGAGTTATCTTAAGTATTTACTCCACCATTTTCCTTGACAATACTTCTTATTTATTATTTTTGACATTTGCTCAGCATCATGAACATCTTTAATATATGCACCAAAAAGAGGAAGACAAGATTCCTGCATCATAACTGCATCACGTGCAAATTACAGGGCACACACATTCCTACAACTCTACAACAAAAAGAAAAGCAGTGCAACTAAAAAACAAACAAACAATAATAAAGCGGGAAAAGATGTCAACAGAAACAGATTCAATCAACCTGAGTTGGTGCTTGAAATAATGACTCGTGGATCTTTCGTTAGCAAACACTTCTCAGGGCGTAGATAATGTAGTGGTGTCCCTCGAAAGAGACATGAAGCGTCAGGTGGTATGTCTGCAATATTGCCTAAGACAGGCATCCTGCACAACAAACAGGCTTTTGAATTTGCAGGATGTGTTTCTTTGGTGGAGGTGATTTCATCACAGCATATAGAAGCCACCCTTCAAGATTTAGATAGGTACAAATATATAGGTAATACACATAGGTAGCGTATAGGTAGTTTAAAGCAATAAGAAAGTACATGTATATATCTCACACCATAGATCTATGTCTGAAGCAATAAGAAAACTACGAAGATTCCAGTTATCAAACAGACTTTTAAGGAGCATAAATAATTTACAAAATGAAACAAAATTTTCACCAACATTTGAAAAAACTCAATCCTATCACATATGATACCTACTGTGCGCCATAAATCCATACATTGCAAGCCGCCACTCTGGGCCATCATGGCCCCTTTCTCCAGCTCCTGCACAGACACGGAGTGGGCGCTGCCCCGCAGTGTGCACCGATCTCCAGAGAATGACTCCCACGACTTCAAGAAAGGAGCTCCATACCTTCTCCTTATATCCTGAGTGAGTAGCAGGGCCAGGTGATGGGAAACACAAATTCAACTGGCCTTTTGATTTCCTGAAAGTGGATCCCTCCTGTATGCTTCAATATCTCACAATTGTGACTGCTTATGAAAGTTGTGATCATCAACTAACAACATAATATCTAGAAGTTTTGTGCACATTTTGGATCATTTATGACTTTAGTAACAGCATGGTTCTTTCCAAAGCACACTGCTTTCCTCTCAGATTCCCTTCTCTAATTTATTTCTGTATCGCCACTACCCCTTCCTCTCAATTTATTTATTTATTTTTGTCTTTTTAGACAGGGTCTCACTATGCAGTTCAGGCTGGCCTTGAACTTGCTTTGTAGCCCAGGCTGGGCTTGAACTTGCAGCTATCCCCCTGCCTCAGCCTCCTGAGTGCAGGGCTGTCAATTTATTTTAATAAGATTTGTTTCTAGCTATGAAATGTATATGTATTTTAAGAAATTTGAATAATAAAATTAGGAGGAAAAATATCCATAATTCTATCAATTTCTTCCTCCAGGATTTTAATGAAACAATTACATTCTGAATAAGGTGTTTCACATCCTTGTTTCAAGTAGAGAAAAAGAATCTTTTGCAGAATTCACTCTGGTTTTTGATAAATTTGGTTAACGTGCACAGACTAGGAACGCAATAGACATATTACCTAACAGGCACACCTGACATTCAGAAAATTAAACGTTAGCACTATTTGGCTCCACTGTAGATGGTTCTTCTTCATGACCTTATTTTAACAGATGTGTAAATGATAGGTATCATGTACAGAGTCTCAGTTGATGATATCATCTTCATACAACCAAACCAGGAAGATACCATTATTCTCAATTTATAAAATAAGAGTCTTCACTGAAGAGTTGAAAGTTTTAGGGGACATGAACCATCTTTCTTTGCTTCCAAGCGTTTTCTGTCCCTGACAACCCAACATCCCAGCGTGAGTACCAGAGTCTGCTCTTCATCGGCTTTGTGCTGAGCACTTCCAAACCCTACTCCTTCCTTCCTTTTCAAACCAGTATTGGTAGTGTTGGAAGGACATCCTGGAGTGTAAAACTTAGTTTCTCTGATTATTTCCCCTAAAAAGAGCCCTAAATTTTTTTATTTCTTTAAAGGCAGAAACACTTTTAAGGCTATTTGTACATATTATCAATTCCTTGTTTCAGTGGAGCTGTTGAAATCATAATTAAATCAGCAGAGCAGAGGCTTCAAGCATCACTGTGCCCTTTACAAAAATATTGGTTCACTTAATAGATGAAAACTGATTCTTGGTTGTTAACATTTATTTGCTAATTTACTTTTTTTTTTGGTACCAGGAATTGAACTCACGACCTCATGCTTGCCAGGCAGGTGCTCTGCCACTGAGCTATATCCCTAGCCCCTGTTAATTTACTTTTGATTGCTATAACTCACTGTGCTTTATTACATCAGTCCTTCATTCTACAGAGTGAACCTTACACAAAAACTGGCTAAATCCTTGAATAAGGAATGAAGGCGGGGGAAGGGTAGATCTGCAGACCTTTTCTTGCTTTAATTCACTCAGTAGTCATCCAGCTCTAACTCCACGCCAGGCACCATCAGATGAAAGTCCACCCCTGACCTCAAAGAGCTTGTGGACTAGCAAGGGAGAAAGTCATGCTGGGCATGGTGGCATATGCCTCTCATCCCATCTACTCAGGAGGCTGAGACAGCACAATCACAAATTTGAGAGCCGAGTTGGGCAATTTAGGAAGACGCTGCTTGATGGTTAAAATTTTTAAAAGGACTGGGGGATACGGCTCCGGGATGGCGTGCCCTAGGTTCTATCCCAAGGGCACTTAAATAAAAAAAAAAAAACAAACAGACAGACAGACAGACAATTACAGGACAGATTTATCGCTACTGTGACCAAAATAATAAGAGGAAAATGCTTTGGAAGACAAAGAGAAAATTACCTCAACGTGCTTCAAGTGGTTCCTGAAAGGCTTTTTGAAGATGCTGAGGGCTGAGCTCCATATTGAAATGAAGCAAAATGAAGCTTTCCATGAGTTCCCAAATACAACTAATCACTTCTCCAGCGGTGTCCTTTTACACTTACAACAATGTGTTGTACTTACTTTTTCCACGTCTCTCCTTCTAGGCTGAACTTCTTGATGGGGAAGAGCCTTCACCCCAATTAGCCTGGTACAATGCCCGAAAAAGTAACGCAAATGCAATAGAGATTTGTTGAATTATTTTAAAATTCTAGCCACAATGCTATTTCCTCCTATATTTTCCTCTTCACCTATCTAGGTACTGACCCATTGTTCCTGTCCTCTGTTTATTACACGTAAACAGGGTTTGTTTTGTTGTTTTTACTTTGCCGTGTTAGGGATTGAACACAAGGCCTCTGTACCGAAATACGCACCCAGCTCCTTTAAATTTTTTTCTATTTTGAGATAAGAGTCTTACAAAGTCGCTCGCGCCCACGGTGGTTTCGAACTTGATGATACTCCCGCCTCAGCCTCCCAGAATGTTGGGGTTACAGGCGTGCGTCACCACACCCGGCTGCTTAAATGAGTTTTTAAAAAGAGTAATGCATCTTAATTTAGGGAAAGCTGGAAAATACAGATTTTTTTTAAGTGCTTAATCGCCCACAATCCGACTGTCCAGCGACAACTACTGTTAATATTTTGGATTATTTCCGTCCAGTCTTTGAAGCCAGTACTGTACGAGTTCTATACTTCTCTCAAGAAAGGTGTGCGGGCTCCTGGTAGTGCACTACAGCCCCGGGTGGTTTATTATCATTTCCGATTCGGTTAAAGACAGCGGGACTGAAGGCTCAGACTCGGTCCAGCGCTCTGCTCTGCGCGCCCCTGGCAGCCCCCGCGCGGCCTTCAGACCAGGCGTGCGCGCGCCCG